TATACTATATATATATATATATATATATATATATATATATATATAATGAAGACAAATGACTAGCAGTTAAACTCCTTCATCAGAACAAAATCTAAACCCGCAGATTGGCCATCTACCATAACTTAGATAAGCCATAAGTAAACAAGGGAGATATTTCAAAGTATGCTTAAACATGATCTATTGATATTACCAAACCAATTTGCACTGTCTCTTTTTCTCTTTAAAATTAATTTTTGATGCTAAATAGAATATAATTTGACGAAAAGCTTTTTTTTCCAATCTCTCATGTTTGTGTTCTCTTATTTCCACGTATTCTCGAATTATGACTCTTTTAGAAATGCAAAGATTATTTTCAGAACGGAAAATAGTTTATGTCATTGTCCTCTTCGCAACAAGAAGAATTCGTAGTGAATATTTCAAAAGATGTATCAATATTTGTTGGCAATCATCAGCATTTTAAAGAAAGAAGGAGCAAAGCCAGTTTAGTGATCTTCTCCCACCTGTTTAATTTTGAAACTCTCAGTTTTCCTGTACGTCCAATTTAAAATAAATAATTGAAAAGGAGCCGGAATCAGCAGAATAATCATTACTGAACTGTTGGTGAAATTCCGGTTGGTGGTATTTGCAATTACTCAATTTGTTGATTTATTCACAAGCGAAATGTAATTATAAATTGTTTCAGATGCGCAATATGGTGGAAATTCGACAATGCCAATTTTCAATTAGTTGTTTAAATCTAATAAATTCCATTGTCAAATTCAGCTTCACACTGATAAGACCATTCTTTCGCATGGTTTTTTCTCTCTTACAGCACCAACTTAATTTTCAGATCACATAACCGTTAAACCGGTTATAAGGAGAGGTTAGCGAAAGAAACTTGATTTGTGCTCCCATAATGCCAAGGTGCAGCAATATGTATGAATTGCTATCCGCCCATAGTTGTTTGGTTTTCTATATCATCTTATATATATATATATATAATAAAGCGATGACAGCTATGATAGCAATGACAGCAAAAAGTGGTAATTAGTGTTAATTAATCGCGGTATTAATTAATGCCACTTCTCACACTCTTTGATAATCGTTAATAAACGCTCTAAAGTATGATTCATTAAGATGCTTTCAAGCTCGAAGTAGAAGAAAAACAGTTTGGATATTTGAAGAAATAATCCTTCCTGATTATCGTCAGCATCTTAATTACTTGTTCCACAAAGCCTGCTTTATCTGACTGAACTTTCGAATGGGGGAAAAAAAAAGATATTATTCAAACAATAACGACTTAAACAATAATGAATACAAACACGGATATTGTGAACTAACAGATAAGGAGGGGTTAGTATGGATCGAATCGAAATATTCGCAGCCTATGTACGATCAAACCGGTTACAATTGCTATTGAAGACAGCCGTCGTTTTATTCTTTCTGGTTGGTTAATTTAACCAATCTGATCCCATCCAATCTGGTTCTTTTAACTTTCCAACCAATCTGATCTAATTCCTGAAACGCTTGACCGAGTCCAATAAAATTTTACTTTGATTTCTATTCAAATACCCATTCTATTTCATGTATCAGTATCTGATGATATTCATGATGTTATGATTCCCTACCCGACATGCCTATCCAACGTCGTTGCAGATGTTTGAATCAGTTTAATCGGAGTAACACTGAGAGAAATACCACAGAATTTGTTTATATCACTTCTATCATTCCTATCTTTCCTAACATGATGTGTTGAAAAGTGTGGATAACAAAAGTGCCTCCCACAAATGTATTCAATAGTGACCACATTCATACTTCTGGTAAGACAAGTGAATGGTCAATATGGTGAATTAGCATCGTTGATCGGTGGTACTCTCACACCGGGCCTTTTTGGTAATGCAGCTAGCGGTGCAGCTGGAACCGCCTCAGGTCTCCTCGGCAATATTGGAACATGTTAGTTTTATTTTTCAAGACAACCGGAAGCTTTCACCTAAAACAAATTTTATTTCAATGAACATCTTCAATTTAAATCTGAACATTATTCAAATTTTATCCACTGATAAACATAGTAAATCTTTCACAAAATTTGAAACATATTCATATGAATTCGAGCGGTAATTTAAAATTGTTATGCATAATCAAGCTAAGTATGATTGTTCTGTTTTGGTACAAAGGATTAATTATTTTAAAATAATAATCATACACATGTAGCAGTGTTTTTTCAGTGTATCAAATTGCTCAAGGTGCATTACAATTAACAGGTACCGGTGTCGGTATTCTGAATCAAGCCGCAGAAGGAAAATGGTTCAATACGGTTGTTGAAGAAGCTAGAAATGTAAGTTTCTTACTTCTAGCACTTGTTAAAGAGGCGCAAAATGAAAAAGGACTTCGCTATATGTAAGTACCACTGCCATAACAGCGTTATTTATCGTGTTTCATTGAATTTTTAGAAATTTCTCATAAAACGGCAGCTAGTAGTTTAGTGATTGTACTGAACTGAAATGTTAAAGATATCCAGAGTTGGAAGAAAAAACAAAAATTTTTAAAACTTGAACAATTTTATATATAATTTATATATAAAACATATTTTTTTTCCTATATAAAACACTATATAGAAATAAAGTATGAGATCAGAAAAGCGTGCTTAAAACTGGACACTGCTTTAATTTATAAAGTGACTTCGCAGATTAAGACTCTTCAAGGTTCCATTCTTTTATACATTTTTTTTTCTTAAAGAGGAGGAAGTATGTTGCAATGACCTTGTAGTTCTTCCACGTCATGTATGTTTTTTAAAAAAAATATGTTGTCGACTTTTTTCGAATTTCCATATACCAGAAGGTCGGAAAGACCGTTTATACCATCGAGTATGCTAACCTGGATTGGCAAATGAAGGCTAATCTTGGTAAATGAAGGCTAATCTTATTTCCGCTCTTCAAAAGTTTCATTACTTGATTTTCATAAATAGCTAAAAGTTTCATGAAGCGCTTTCTGTTGTGATATAAGTAGCCGCTTTAAGTTCGATTAATAATTTTTCGAAAAATTATTTGAAAATCATCAAGCGATTAATTTTTTAAAAACTTACGTTACTTCAATTTTGTACTTTAAAAAGATGCTATTAAATGTGTGACAGTGACAGAAAACTGTCATCCATCTCCAACTTTATTCGAATTGATTGTTAATACTTTCTCCAAAAAATGAAAAGTACTTTCTTGTAAAAGTGGATCTTTTTCGAGGAATTAAGTTACTTTCTTTCTAGGCTAATCGGGAAATTCAAGAGAGAGCACTGATTGGTACGTACATCATTTCACTTTTTATTTAGTTTTTCCTTTTCTAATTTAGGTATTTTTTCAAGATACAAGATAAATGACATTATAATATTTGTTCGCTATGAAGAAAAAACTGGTGATCCTTGTCCCCAGGAAGATTTATAATTGATTTGTATGAACTTTGATCAGCTGAAATTTGCTGAGGGAAGTGGAAGTCGTCCGGTTCATTCATTTATATCGTATCGTTTTTCAACTAATTTTGTTTTTATCTAATTGCCGCTTGCTACTGCAAGACAGCACTAAACGGGTAAATTACAATTCTTCTGTTTTTCATTTCAATTTTTTAAGCTCCAGAATCGGTTTCCTATGAAACTTGGAAAAAAAGTCGTACAGTCATCCTTAAACTTAAAAAAAAATCAATACACTAACAATGAATGATTGATGTTTGAATCATATTAATGCCTCGGGAAAGGAAACAGAATTTTTTAAAGATTTAGCAAAATTTTTTATATGTAGTGACGGAAGAATAAGTTATCAGTGATAATTAGTTGTCACATTAACTCTATTGTAAAAATAAATGAATGGGACCCATAAAACCCATTCATCATTTTAAAAAATGAAAAGGTCAGAAAATAAAGAATCAGAGGCAAAAGAACAAGAAACAGTACCACGGCAGTTATAAATTCGAATTGTCGCTCCATAACCTGTTACTTTCCGGAACTTTTTTTTTTCTAATTTCTGAAATTTTCAATCTTGTTGAACTCAGATCAAAGTCCTAAGTGTCAGAATGCTTGAAGAAAAAAGGATAAACGTGTCGGAAACTACAATTGAGAGAACTTGAAGTTGACGACGTGAGTAGATTAGACAAACATTTTTGAATCTGACACGCTATTTAAGGATGGAAGGGACGTAAAGTTTTGTGGTTAATGATCCTACTTGATAAGTAAAAAGAATGAATTTGGGTGGTCAATTGAATGCATTTGACCTTTAAGTTCTATGTTATTTAAAGATGAAAGAAATGTAAAGTAATTCCAGGAAATAGTTTAGAACCTGACTACTCTCAGTTTGGCATTAATTTTCCGGCACCAGCACCTAGTGACTACGACCAGGAAGGGAGTGTGAAACTGGAAAGTCTTATTCCAATCAACAACATCACAACTGAAAGGACTGCTCCAATTGAAACTCCATTAATCACTCTGTTTCCAGATGAGGTAAATTAAACTTTTCCGGCTGAAAATTTCATGTAATCAATGAGAAAATTTTACATAACATCCGAAGGTCAAGGTTGCATCTATATTCCGAAAGTAAAAGTCAGTCTGCAATGGTACAACAGATTAGTATAGCTATTTCCGTTTTGTCATTGTATAGTCTGTTATCGTATTCTTTTCAAGTAATTCGATTTAATATATGCCTCTAAAACACTGATAATCATCCATCATATAGCATAAGAATCTGTTCTTCGTCTCATTTTAGAAAGAGATAAGTAGTTTAAACGGAAAGGAAAACCTGAATGTTGTGAGTGTAATTGATGTCAATGAAAATAGAGAGAAGATTAGTCGTTTTGGGAATAGAGAAAACTCTGGACGAGATGGTATGAATAAATCTAGTAGTGATGATCATGAAGAAGAAAAGGTTTGCTTTGGGAAACTTTTCGAAATTCAAATTAAATCAATGCCCAAATAGTTTTTCGAACTTTCTGCAGAATTTTGAAAGAAATTAGCAACCAGGGGTTTTTTGAATTTTTTTGTTAAAAAAAGCTCCTAAAAAAATACACTTAACAAAATCATTTGTTAAAATTATAGAATACGATGAATTGCAGATATTTTCAGGATAAAAATTTGGAACTGACTGAAGAGAAAGTAGGAAAATTGCAGCGATTTGTTGTATTGCTACGTGAAAGCAATATAACGGAAAATGATTTAAGTGAGTTGACAAGATTACTCAAACAGAAAAAAGCGATTAATTCAAAATCAGTCAGGTCAACTACCGGATCCCGGATTCTTTTCACTAACCCTACCGCATCTATCACCACAGCCTCAACACTTCAACGAACAAACGAGACAAAGTAATGTAGATTTCTTAATTCGTTTGCAATTTCCTCTGTTTCTGAATTTTTTATCACTTAAAATATTTTTCAATTGTTGGAGTATTACTAACATACTCAAAGAATTTGTTAGTAAATCACTTCTCGATGCTAATATTAGTAAAAATGGTTGAAGAGGCAGTTTTCTCTTTTTTTTTGCCGTCAAACGTTTTCGGCATTTAGAGAATTGGGGCTTTGAAGACTCTGTGAAAAACGATTCCCTTAGGATTAGATGCATAGTAAAGTTATGCTTCATTTACAGCAAAGCCTTCATCACTGCTCTGCCGATAATTTTTCGACATACAGAACCAGAACCGGGTGATGTCGTCGATAGCGAAGATAGCGATCTACTCCCATTTACTACTTCAAGACCTAAAATGGTAATCAGTCATTTATTTATATTTACAGAATATCAGATTTATTTCAGGTTGCCTGATGAAGTTTTTAAAATTTCCGAATGAAAAGAAATACTTCAGATAATTGTTTTGTTTACTAGGGAGCAGTTAGGATCAAATATCAATCCCGCAATCAGCAAAAAACCAATTCGACATCAGCAATTTTTCATCGTCCTAGGAAGTATCCTCGTCGAACAGCATATCGGGCTCGATTACCCTTTGTTACCAGTGCTACTCATATTGAAGCTAAAATGGAGAAACCGAAACAGTCAAAAATAAATATGAATGGAGGAGCGATTCAGCAAATCCACTTAACAGGTATTTTTTGTCTAGAAACTCATATTTAATTTATTTTGTTAAATTATTTGTGAATTACGATTATTGTGAAAACACATGACTCTTTTAATGATTGAATTCTCTAAGAAAATAAGTTTCGAAAACCTTTTGAAAGCAGTAAATCTCACTTCTAATTTGTTCAGAATTCTTAAAAATTTTTTGTGATAATGAGTCCAGGTAAATTGAGTAATGTTCATGCAGAAGTGCAACTGGAAAAAAGTTCTTTCGAAAGTATTTAATTACTATTTTAGAGCAAAAGTCAGATGTCCTAAGACAGCAGTTTTTGCAACCAGCTGTTTTGAATCCATTCGCACAGTCGGAAGTTACTGCGCCAGCCTTTGGAATTTTTCGAACTCCAACATTTCCATCTCCTCTTATCAGCAAGCTACGAATGTCATTAGAACCCACCCTTCATTTGTATCCGTTTTAGGAAGCCATAATAAAAGTAATAGACCATGCCTTCAAGAGAATCCTATCGATATTCTAGGATAGCCAAATACATATTTATGATCAACTGATTCCTCTTTTCTGCCCTTCATGAAACTTGGTAATTCCCTTTGGCTGATTAGAATGGTAATTACGTATTATTAACTCATTACAAAATTGTTTGTAGAAAGTTGTGCATTTGTTGGGCATTTACGTGTTGCAACAGGTCAGTCAGTTCATTGTTTTTTAAAATGAATTATAAATATAAAAATTTTGAATTCGTCATATGCTGTAACAGATTGATAACAAAAACAAAAAAAAAAAACAAAACTAGCTATTTATTGGTTTCCCGACAAAACACGTTGTTAGTGAAAATGCAGTTGTAGCACTGTTAGTCGATTTCATGAATCGTTTAAGTGAAATCGAGAGGTCGAGCATTGGATCTATGAAAAATATCGGATTTGTGTTCAATAGAACGGCAACTAAAAAATAATTGATTTTGAATCTGTTCTTTGAATCTAGGAAAACAGAGACATTGAAGCAATGTATATGGACAGCGATAGTAGTTGTGATTATAAATGATTAGAGTAACTGATGAAAGAAAGTAAGGTCATAGTAACTTGGTCTTTCCTTATCTCAGGCCTCTTCATCAAATATTTTACTCTGACCTAAGGAATAAGTGTTGTGGAACATAATTATTTGTTAAGTGAAATGGAAAGGAACTGAATAGAGGAAGACGGAGATTTCCTGATTGCAGGCATACAAGAATGTTTAAAGCAAGCAGTCGCATGAGTAAAAGGCCTAGAAGATGAGTCGATCACATCGCTTGAACAATTATCTTTTGCATAATTATGTTTAACTACTTTTGAGGATGGATCAGTCTTGCTGGATTATTAACGTCTGATCATTTCGTCCTTTTCACCTGCCTTTCCTTACCTTTATTCTTTTATTGACTTCTATGAATGACGTTCTTTCATCTAATCTCGATCGCTCTCTTACTTAAACATATTTGT